AATATAATGGCCGCCGGACTCACACCCCGGCGACTGGCCAACTGTTTGATCAAGGGCAATTCAATGGGTCGCGGTATGCCCTGATCCAGATCGGGTCCGGTAGAGGCCAGCGGCGAATAGGCGGTCAAATGTATGCCAAAGTGGAGACACCAACGCCGCAGTCGGTCGTTGTTGAAGTACGGGTGCGACTCGACCTGCACTACGGCCGGCACTGTCGACGAGTTGTCCATTAGTTGCTGTATTTGACGCGAATTGAAGTTTGAGACACCGATCGAGCGAACCAGACCTGGAAAACACGTGTGAAATATTTATTAATTAATTTGCATGAAATAAAGTGCCCAAATGGTCAGGATCAATTAGAACAGTTTGATGTTTCTACTTTAATTAAAACTTCATAAATAATCTAATTATTAATTTAAACACTTTTTAAAACTGTAACTGTGGATTTTAATTTTACATTATATATACTTTAAATTTAATTTTGTTATAAATGGATACAATGTGTAAGTTTTATGAATTAATTATAAATTTTTATTAGTAAAATACTCCGAGAGAAAGGAAGAGAAACTATAATTGTACTATTGAATTGAATTATTATTATTATTATTAATTCGTCTAGTAATCACATTATTTTATTTAAATATGACAGAAAATAAATAAATGCACTAAATTCAATCCAATTAATTATGAATTTACTTTTGGTAAAATAATAGAGAAAAGATTCATAAAAATAATTTAAAAATAAATATAAGTGATTGTTAGGCACCTATAGTTGTACACTAACCCGCTTTCTTAATCTCTTCAAACTCGCGCCAAACATCATACAACTCGATGGACTCGTCAAACAACACGTGGCCCTCTTTGGCGCCGGGATGGTAGTCGTCGTCCACCTGTTTGAATGGTGTCGGCCAATGAATGAGCAACAGATCCAAGTAATCCAGACCCAGATTGGCCAGCGATCGCTTCACACTGACAGTTGGCCTACCCTTTCCCACCCAATTGGGCCACACTTTGGACACCACATACAAGTCCTTACGACTGACTTTACCCGCCTGTATGGCCTCCCGGAGTGCGGCGCCGACCTCTCGCTCGTTGCCATAGAAGTCCGCGCCGTCAAAGTGTCGGTACCCGGCGTCCAGAGCACGGGTGATGTCCGCACTGGTGGTCGCGTAAGTACCGAACCCCACGATCGGTATGTCGTGGCCGTCGTTCAACCGAATTGAAGGCACTTTTGTAGACATTTTTTGATTAAAATTTTGTTGCAAATATGGTTTTCAAAGTTATTTTTAATTAATTTTCACTAAAAAATGTTATTATATAATTGAATGTTTAATAAAATTTTTGTAGATATACTTATTACTAGTTATTCAACGTATAAACATTTACCAGCTTTTATACAGCAGTTATCAGCGTTTTTGTGCCTCAAATTAATTGATATAATTTTATCTTTAATTTTAAACATTAAAATTAGATAAACTTTTTAATTTATTATTTTGCAAATGTAACTTTATTGTAAGTACAGAAAGTCTTAGGTCTTTAAGCATTTGTCCCGAAAACGTAATGTCCTGAAAGTATTAGTTTCTAAAGTCTACTAACCATTAGAATCGTATTGAATAGTGTTAATACAGTAGTATCAGAAATTATTAACGTTTATGATATGATTATGTTTGTACTGTATTAAGTGTGTGGCATGTTGATTTTTATCATAAACTATTTAGTTTTAGATTAATTTAATCTAATTGATTGTATGCTTGTTTAAAACATAATTTATTAAATAGTATTTTGAGTTATATCTAAATCAAATACTAAATATTGTATAACAAAATATCAAAGTCAATGTATCGCAATGCTCTGATAAATAAATGACCCTGGATTTAAACATAACTTTTAATGATCTGTTAAAATTATGTAATAGCATTTGTCAAATCTAATTCTAAATATTGATTGATAATAAATTTTAATTAAATTGACCAACATATTTTGCTGGTTATCAAGTCTTTGGCTAAATTGAAAAATTTCAGTTATTTTAACTACTGTAAATTAAATATTTATAATATCTAAAATTAGTAAAACTACACCTAAACATTTCTATGTTTTGTTATTATAATAAAATAATTAATTGTTCAAGATTTAGTGCCTAATGTTTGTTAAATACTCTATGAATTTTATTGCAACTATTTGTTTAACATGTAATTATTTATTTTACTAATTATTGAATTTTTCAAATAAAAAATATTTAAATAACTTAATTTAACAAGTTATTTAAAATATTTGAAAATTCTGTAATTTAATCGTTACTTTGAATAAATAAAATCAATTTTTAATAAAAACATTCTTTTAATATTAATACTACTTTACATTCAATTCATGAATCAGTTAAAATTTTTAAAATAACTTGTTAATTTTTGCATCATATGATCCTGTTATTACAATATGTTTTGATTAACAAAAATAATTTTTGCATTTTTGTTGTTGTATGCTATATACATTATCTTAATAACACACTCGTTTTATTATTAATTCACGAGAATCAAGGTTTGCCATGGTATTTATAGTCATGTACATCAATTAGCCTGGGCATATAAGCTAGACGCTTGCATGAAAAGTGATATTATAGCTAAATATAGCCAATGATCAATATGAAAGCTGTATCACTATTATTAATTGCTAATCTTATAGCATATGGACAGGGTGAATTTGTTGCCATCGTATATGACCACGTTGATCATAAAGGGCGTAAGTGATATATAATTAGTTATATATATTTATAAATAAAATTTATTTAATGTACAGAATACGAAATTGTACATGGACATGGGTGTGTTAACATTAGAGCACTAAATGATCGTATATCGTCTGTTAACACCACGGGTGTGTGTCTTCAATTTTACGACTATTATAACTGCTATGGTCCATCAATAGAATTACATCCTGGTATAAGTTCACATAGTAATCTATGGGACTGGGGATTTAACGATAGAATATCATCAGTTGGTTATTGTTCCAATTATTTTGGTATGGTATAAACTTAATCAAATTATTATTACTATTATGCTTATGCTTATACTGTATTATGTATATGGCAATTTACGCTTTAAAAGCATTCACTTATATTGAGGGGCAGAAAATGACTGATTTAATAGTAACCTTTATAGTGTATCATCATTCATTAGAAATTAAAGTTCTGCCGCCTCTTAATCTAGGCCATTTCTGGACATCTGGTCAGTTTATTTATGAGTCTGAATATTAAATGACTTATCAGGTCCTAGCTCTATTTATAAATAATTTATTTGTAAAAAATGTTATTTTAACTGGGCACATAATGTTATCATGTTATAGGCTTTCAATTTATATATATTATAAATAGAGCCAAAACTTGATGAGTCATTTAATATTCAGACTCATAAAAGTAGTGAATTAGTCAAAGAGTAACAAAAAATCTTCTATTCAGTTAATGTTATACACCTATAAAATAGTTGCGATAATCATTATTATATTTTTTAAAATTGTATATTATTGACAAAATTGTACCAAAAATGTACTAAAGTTTCTTCCATAATTATAAAGTACTCAATCAAACACTTTTAAAGTTAAGTTTAAATAACTATTCTAACATCAGGCCACAAATTTATAGTCATGTACTATTTTTTAATTTCAATTGGCCTGGGTATATAAACTAGACACTTGCATAAATATGATATTATAGCAAATGATCAACATGACAACTGCATTTCTATTACTACTTTGTACATTTTTAGCATCTGAACAGAGCGACGCATTTCATGTCATGTTATGTGAACATCCTGACTTTAGCGGTAGTAAGTATTTATCCTAGTATTTATACTAATAATTTATTTTGTTGTGTATTTAAATGAAACATATTTAATTGAACAGTTTGTCTAAATATATCCGGCAATGCCAGTTGTCATAACGTGATCGATGGATTTGATAACCGCGCTTCGTCTGTGAACACCTATGGTAGTTGTGTTTGGCTTTACGAACATTATAACTGCGAAGGTAGATCTGAAGCGTTTCATCCAGGTAACAATGCTCATGAAGATCTGCGCAAATGGGGTTTCAATGATATAACATCATCAGTTGAAAAATGTAATTATATTATTTAAACTTAATGAAATAATTATTATATTTGTTAACAAAACAAATATAGGCCACCATCGCGAACAGGCTCCGAGTGCTTCCTGTGTCCATGCTGCTTTAAATGAAACCAAATTGAATTAAAAATAAATGCCCGGTTTAAATCAGTGTATTGAACAAACAAACATTTAACTCATACAATGATTTGCGCTATCTAATTAATTATTACATTTTCAACAAATACTAACATTTTAATTAAATATTTGTTTGTTATAACTAAATTTAAATTTTTATCTTAATTTTTTTTATAATTTCTGCATGATAATAATTAAATATTATTATGATTTTAAAACAATTATAAGTTATAATTATTTTAATTTATAAGTTATAATTTTACAATGTTATATTTTATTCCGATTAAAACACTTTTCGTAATTAAGTCCATAATCAATATTATAAAACTTTAATTATTACAATAAAATTAATTATTAAAACATAATTACAAAGTTTGGTTTTTACTAAAATTATACTAACATTTATATTTGATAAGAAGTTTAAGATAAATAAATAAACGCATTTATTTAAAAATTGATAAAAATGATAAATAAGTGAATAAATGCAAATAATTATGTAATTTTGTATGAATTATTGTAAATAATATACGCATAACAATAGAGTCATTGCATATGAATTAATTGTTTTTATGTTTACTTGAGATAAAGTAAAAATAAAGTAACAATTTATTGAAAATACAGATATTGAATATTTGTTGAAATATTTTATCATCAAATACTTTGCATTTAATAATTTGCGTTCAAATTTATTTAAGTATAAGTCTGTAATGCCATAGAAACTCATGTTAACTCATTCTTCCACAGTATTTTTTATAATTATGAATAACCCTATGTGAATAATTTTAATATTCATGGATGTGCAATGTTTGTATAGAAGTATCGCATTACTATTATTATAAAACATTAGTGAAATTTTTACATAATTAATATAATGTAAGATTCACTTTACTATAACATGATAAGTTATTGATATTATTGATAACATTATATGCCCGCTTGCGACAACATTTGTATAAATAAATTATTCATAAATTACCATTCTAAAGTGTAAATGTTATACAATCGTATAATATAAAGTATGTGGTATTTAGTATGAGACGACAAATTTATAGTTAAATACATGTACTATTTTTAACTTCAATTGGCCTGGGTGTATAAGCTAGACACTTGCATAAAAGTAGTATTATAGCTAAATATAGCAAATGATCAAGATGAAAGTTGTATTTCTATTACTAGTTTGTAATCCTTTAGCATATGGAGAGAGTGCAATATTTGCCACCGTATATGAACGAGAATGACTAATCTGCTACCCTAGAAAGTGCTACCCATGAAAGTGCTACCCTAGAAACTTATAAAATTGTGATTAAAGCTTTAAATTATGACAGTTAATTTTAATTGCAAACTATTTATAAAATACAATACTATATTTGTTTAATTAAATTTCTCAACATTTTAATCAAAATTAATAAAAATTGGACAATAATTACAAGTTTCTAGGGTAGCACTTTCAAGGGTAGCAATTTCTAGGGTAGCAGATTAGTCATTCTCTATATGAACACGTTGATCATAAAGGGGGTAAGTGCTATATAATTAGTTATTGCTATATTTATAATTAAAATTAATTAAAATTAAATGTACAGCATACGAGACTGTAGCTGGAGTTGGGTGTGTTAAC